CACTTTGACATTCGAACTTGGAATTCCCACACTCGAGCCAGCCAGCCGTCCCAACTCTGTCATACCGTAACCACTGGCTGTAAAACATACTTGGGGATCAAAGCATCAACATCGTGTCCTCGGTCTCGATGGGATACTGCGCAGTGCGCAAGGACGGGCAAACTGAGGTCCGAATATTCATGGCGCAACATGGCGTGATGTCATTATGCAGGTTCTGGGAGAGCTGATCGATGCGTTGTTCCTGCGATAGGGCTGCTGAAGCTTTAAGCAATTCAATATGGAGTATAGAGCCTTTTAAAACATGTGTCCACTTGTTGTGAGCTTTCGTTCGCTAGCCAGGCACAGTAGCACATCTGCAAGCTCAGTTGAATGTGGCAAGTCAGGCACCCGCGGTAACTGAATAAACGATCGAAACTCAAGTCCTCGACTGCTGAATGTTGGAACGGCAACTATTATCTTCGATGTGGCCTCGCCGGCCTCCGAACCAAGGACCCCTGACCTGAATCGGTTCCCAAATGATAATAGCAATTACTAACGACATTCTTCTGTGCCCTGTCGCATACTTGAAATTCGCCACACGGTGAAAAAGAGTACCCCTGCAAATCACAGGCGCCGTGGCCAAGGGTTGAAGCATCTTGTCTGCGAATCATCGCGGCACTTTGGCCTTCTGCGGCGTGACTGGTTGCGATGGGCCCCAGTTCGATGTCTGGAGACGGCAACGCGCACCCCACTCTCCAAGCTCGATGCGATTCCCCTCAGCAGGCTCGAACATTCGCACAGACGCTATTTTCAGACAGGTATTATCTCGGGAGACGGGAAGAGGAGTGATCAGAGTTAAGCAGCATTTCTTGTCTAGAGATGATGTCGTTGGATGGACGTCGGTGGTTCCGTGGTTGCACTTTGACGGTTCGGCACGGTGCGGCGATCTTGTTGAATCGGTTCAGTTGCGGATTTCTTTCTCGAGAGATAGTTGATTACATTGTTCTGAGGGACGGCTGCTAAGAATAGCTTTTGTCCGATGACCGGAGAGCCTCAGGCCCCGTGATTGCCACCGTGACTTTTTGGACGTTGACCGAATCCTCGTCGAGACTGATCTTGGATTTCCCCAACTTGAGAGCATCCTTGCTCATTCACTCGTCACCAGCCAATCCTTTGCTTGGGGCTTTCTTCCAGCAAGCTCCAGGCCAAGGGTTTCTCTCTGCCGCAGGAGAAACTAATCGAAGACCCAGCACTGTGCAGCAAATGCATGTCGGCTCTCAGCTCGCTCGGTGCTAGTGACCTGCAGGCATTTCTGACCTCCCTCAAGCCTGATAGGACAAAAGATACTCGACGACTGGATCCTCTCGCAAAGTGGAGGTTTTCCCTTGACTCTTCACTAATTCCAATGCAAAAACCCCTACTTCCCAAATGCCGTTGGCTCGTTGGGGCGGCACACATCCCCAGTCTTATCTATCCTAATCGAGCAACATTTACGAATGATTCAAGCAACTGTGCGCTCCTCCAGTCATGTACCGTCGGTAGTTGATCTCTCCAGTGAGAGCATACAATCTCCAAGCTGCGGAGGGGGCCGATATCCACTCCATGTGCACCCCTTTTAATCCAGGACGGACTCCTTTCAGCTAACAATGGAAACATTCCTCGATTCCATGCTCTCTGCCGACAGTGTTCCCAGCACTGCGCAAAACATATCTGCGCTGAGATTCTCTTGGGCTGCATGAGAATCATTGACGTGGTCGGCCGTTGACGCCTTATATTCCTTCAACGCACCACCGCCACGCCCCGGTTTAGCCACACACCGCACGCCCCGCTGTGTGGCGAAGTCCGGCGGACAGTTATACATCGAAAGAGAGGATTATTTCTTCTGCGCCTTCTCGGACTATATTACTGTGCCGACGGGTGGTTTTCGCCGTTTTTTAATTCTGGTTTTGCCCCAATTTCCGTTTTGATTCTTATTCTGAGTTAGGCTTTTTCGGCGTTGACCAAGCTTCTTGTTGTGACAGCTCTACCGTTGATTCCCCCAAAGGTTCACACCTCTACCTTTATTACTTTGCGCCTGGTGCCCTTTTTCCGGCAGGTTACACGGTTTCATTAATAAACGGATTGGTTCTAGTTCAGAGTAAGTGAGCAGGACCTGTGTGGCAACCCGCAAGCTCACCTTTGCTTCGCTGTCCTAGCCGGATGTCGGTTTTCACCGGTTCACTATTCTCTGGCCGTGATGTTTCCCAGCGCAATTAATACAGCTGCTCCTCGTCAGCGTCGCCATCAATGTTATCTGAAAGGCTTGCAGGATGTCGTCCCGCAAACCCAGTCGAGTCGGTACGCCCTCCTCGGCGGAGACTGCCCCGGCTGCCCCCGTGTCACGATCGTCGAGAATCCCAACTGCGTCGAGCATGAGATCGGCAACTCCGAAATCGCAGGCTTCCTTTAAATATACGCCGTCACTACCTAAGGGTAGTAGATATCCCGGCGCACCGGAACCTGAGACGAGGCAGCGTGATAACATTGGAACTAATGTTACCAAGTCGAAGGGGCTAAGTCAACATCTTGGGCTGCCTCGAGCTTTAGCCCCTGGGGCTTCGTCGTTACCTCACGTGGAACCGTTATCATCGTCAAAGAACACATCAATGACATCTCGAACTTCCGCAAAATCTCCGCGAAATGTTTTGCGGAGAAAAGCCCCTTCCATTGAAGGGTATGTTGGGCATAGCAAACCACGGCCACCTTCGCCGAAGCCCCGTCGTGACCTTGAGACTACTGGTACAAGTGAACCTCTGAGTGACTCGACAAAGCGTTTCCCACCACCTCCTCCAGCGCGAACACCAGTGACCCCTGTTGAGACACCCCAGCCTGACATGAATAAAACTATTGCTCCCGAACTTTTAGGACTATCAGCAGGGGGCACATTGAATCTCCCTCCGCCAACACCCAACTTTACGAGCAGCCCTTCGACTAGATATTCAGAATCGCCAGGGCTTTGGAGTAGCAGGACATCAACCCCAACATCGCTGTCATCCTACTCACCTGGGCTCACTCATTCCTCCAAAGTTGGTTCCCGTTTGAGACAACCCAGCCCATCACTATTTCGTTCCCACCCGCCGCGCTACCATGTCTCCGGTGCATCTTACCCAGGCGCAACGAAAGATGTTCCGGTATTTCCAAAAGGGCCCCAAAGATCCCAGACGGAGCCGGTACGAGTGCCGGGGTCGAAGCTCCCAACGAAAACGCAGCTTGACCTTGAGAGTGCAATAAAATCCGAAACCCAACCGCGCTTACACCTGCAAACGCCACATTCTGATCCGAAAAGCCCTAGACAGGAAATGACTTTTCAGCAAAATGCTGCGGCCAACGAGAAGGAAGGTTTAAATGTCGACCGTTCAACTAAGCTTCCTCAAAAGTTTCAAAGGATTGAGGCTTTTCAGTATTCGAAAACTGTGACTCCGCCCAAATACCCGGCAAGGCCTAGTCGCACAGGTACTGAAACCCTAGAGCTACAAGCGTCGCCTGTGATTCACAGCAATCTTCCGTCTTCGAGATTACCTGCACATAGACGTCAAAGCTCCGCTGAAAGTGGCCACGTGAATAAATCTGCAGAAAATCCAATCCTCCGCAATGTATCGACTGACTCACTCCAATCGAAATCCTCTTCACGAATTCCCCACCCATCTCCATCGCCCAGCAAATTTGAGAAAATTGATTCTCATCCGTCTTTTACAGCCTCTACCGGCCAGGTACTCTCTAGAAAGAAGTCAGTCCTTGTCAAGGAATCGAAAGACCAGAAGGAGGACAGTGGAGCTAGGCGTTTCGGGTTTTTCTCCAAAAGATCAAGAGCTTCCCCTGAACTATCTCGGTCTGAACCCGTGGATAAAACCCGTCGTGGACCAGCAGCCGGTACAGGACACGAAGGCTATAGTAGATATGCCCAACGCGGAAGAAGGACCAGCATTGGAAGTAATGCCAGCCGTGCCAGATCTACAAGTACCAATGGATCCACGGGCAATGTTAGCAGGGGGCATTCCGACCTGGATGACTTTCTGCTAGATCGTTTGGAACCGGTCATTATAACTGGTGGCGCAGGTGACGGCTCGAAGCTGAGTCGGACTTGCAGCGAACAAAGTGTTAGTGGCTTGAGCGTCACTTCAAGCTTGAGCTCCCAGATCCCTTCACGGACGGCCAAATTCTACAATCAGTCATCTGAGTCCCTGATTTCGTCAGCCGGACGTTTTGTCCATTCTCCGGAACCTATGAGTGGCACATCAACCGTATCGCTCTCCAAATCAAAGGGGGAATTAAACCCAGCGCCTACAATTGCCAAACGCCGTTCATTTCGCAAACCCAATTTGTTTACCAAAAGTAGCGGCAACGGGGCGCTCTCTATAAACACAGACGTTCCAAGATTGGCTCCTCCTGTGGATAGTTCTACTACTTATCGCACCTCTATTTCCCAGTCCGATGCATCCACCATGGCAAGAGAAGATGAACCGAAGGACATCCAAGAGTCCAAGAAGAAAAAATCACAAAAGCTTGGGAAATGGAATTTTTTCCAGAGAAGCCACCAGCTACGTCGAAAAGAGCATTTTACCGAGTCCGATCTGGCGTCCATCACGAAGGTTCCAGTCTCTGTTTCGAAAGTTCCAACATCACGAACAGTGGCGCATTACGCACTCGTTGACTGTGATCCCATTGAATCGGACTCCCTTGAGGACATCCTTAACCGTATCGAGGAATCACCGCCTACGGAAGCAGACATCCAAGAGCCATCATCCGTAATCGACCTCAAAAGGCAGCAATCAGTTTTATTGCCAGCCCCGCCTGTTGGTTTGGCTGAATATACATTCGAACGGCGTCCTTCCTCACCCAAGGTGTTCTTTGGCAAAGATACATCTCCTAGTACACCCGAATTAAAGCCCAGACCGTCTGGTTCAACACGTCTAAAATCTGTGGGAAGAATACCCGTTGTTGTGCCTAGAGAAAATAGGCAACATAAACCTCCACCACAGTCTTTCTCTCGGCCTTTTAGTCGAGCTGATATGCCGTCTATCACAGCACTATGTGACGGCGGTGTATCGAGTCCTGATTATCCTGATTGTTCTGCGGCTTTCTCTTCTTCGAACAATATTAGTTCTCGACCCTTGATGACGGACATGTTAGAGGCCCGTCCCGTCGCACCTGTTCCTGGAGCCGCCGATTCCCATTACTTCCCTACTGATGATCCTGAATTTTTGGTCATTTCCCCCAGAAAGGGATCTGATGTTTCTGGATCTAGCAGCACCGAGAGTCGCAAGAGTCTCGGTGCCATCACAGCTGTCGTGCCTGCTCCAGGCTCGAAACTAACTGAAGATGAAATTTGGTACGAGTACGACGACTTCATCGACAAAGTGCTAACTCCACCCACTCAAGAAATTGGCTTGTCGAATCGAAACTCTTTTCAGTTGGCGGCACGGGCAAGCAGAGTGCTACAGGCGGGTTTGAATGCGATGGGAGATAACACAAGGTTGTCATGTCAATCAGAGTGCTCTCAAGTGACCACGCCTATGTCTTCGCTCCCAACGAACTCTGTACATTTGAGCCGCTCCATGATACTTTCAGCACTGCATTCATCTTCAGCAGCTCTATCCAGCCCTGTGTCTCTTAGCGAATTATATTCGTATTATTCTGAACGCAGTCAAACGATCCCGACTTCGGCAACTTTAGACACAATGTCATCGCTCGAAGTCCCCCAGAACCGTCAGGCCACACATTACGATGGATCTCAAAGCAAGGAGCCCGATCGTCAGAAGAACGCCACTCTTTTAGATATTGCGGAGCGCGAACGGCTTGGAGCTCTTGCGCAGGCAAACCTGCGCTCGGGGTCTCTAATGACAAGCCGTTGGCTATCCTTTGGCCGAGTTCTCTTCAGCCCAGCGCAAAACCACGTGCGAAGCGAAGATCAATCCCGCATTCTTGTAATCGATGGCCTTGGTAACGACGATTGGTCTTTCTACTGCGCTTTAACCTACCCAACAGCCACAATCTACAATCTCAGCATTTTCCCGTCCGGATCCACCAGCAGCAATCCCGCAGCCTGGGAGCCCCCAGCGAACCACCGCTCTGTTCATCATGCCATTTTTGAAAGTCCATTTCCATTTCCCAAGGGGTTCTTCACTGCTGCAATTTTGCGCTTTCCGGCTGCTTGCTCTGAAATCGGGTTAAGAAATGCAGTTTCTGAATGCAAACGAGTTCTTCGCACCGGTGGTTATCTGGAGATGACCATACTGGACCTGGATATGGTGAACATGGGAAGTCGAACTCGCAAAGCGGTTCGAAAACTCAAAGAACGCATCTTCGCGACAGACCCCAGCATCAGTCTGAAGCCAGCCAGCGATAATATCCAAAAGCTTCTCGGAAAACGTGGATTTCAGAATCTGAATCGATGCATGGTCGTAGTTCCCGTTGCGGGGACAATCATGAAATCGTCAGATACGTCCAGCTCTAGTCATACAACCGCCCCTACCAACTCGACTACACCAATTGATTCCTTCCCTCCACCGTCGGCATCTACCATTCCTGGGAGCCATAGCCATACACGGCCTCCTTCTGATGTGAACGTCTCCCTTGGCGATCTGCTTTCAGATCCATCGCCCTCAGAATCCAACGATGAATGTATCGCAAGGATGGTTGCCAAAGTTGGCCGTTGGTGGTACACTAGGTGCTATGAAGCACCAGTCCTGCCAGAAGGTAATATCGACAACAGCATTTGGGCTGATCGGCGGCTTTTGCGCGAGTGTCAAAGACGCGGCACTGGCTTCAAGTTGTTGATCGCCTATGCACAAAAGCCAAGTGAAGTGACACGAAGGACGGTGAGCGTGTGAAACCGCCAAATGACGGTTTTTGATTCCTCCCCGGAACTCATATCTTTTTACATTCAACCCTTTTTGAAACCGGCCGGGCATTTTGCGCCGCCGTGTTACGATTTCTACGACATTTACGACTGCATGAAATGAATGAAAGAAACCATTTTAAGATTGGCATTTTATTTTCACAGTACTTTTCTTCTTCGTGTCTTAGAATTAAGACCGCATTGGGCAACCGGCTAGCATACGCCAGGCCATCTCTGTTCTGCCTAGCGATACTGCTATTTCTCCAACATTATATTCATCTTGTCTTCAATTTTCGTGCCAAGGCTGGTCCGCTCGATTTGAAATTATAACTTATCCCTTTTTTAATCTGCATCTTCCCGTGCTTCTTTCCAGTGTATAGGTTGGATGTCTGAGCTCATTTTAGCGAACTTGGTGGCGAGCGGTCGAGTTAGTATCTGATTTCCTCTCTGCGCATGTATCCTAGTCCTATTTTCTTTACCTCACCTGACCATTATCGTTCATGACTCCAGACTGCCATTCCGTTCAGCCGGTTCTTGGTCTTTCGCATTTTGACATGCAGGAGGACCGTGGCAACGAGTCTTGATAGCTAAGCGCCAATGATTGATGTATCATTATACTCTCAACTCTTTACTTAACCCTCCAAGCGAGGTTAAAGTGGAGCATAGCTTCTTCCCCGAAAACCATCCAGTTTCTATTCATATCCTCGTCGTTTCCCATGTTGCATGCGTGACTTGGCCCATAATTGGCATCGACTGAAAGCAAAGTTGAGCTCCGTGGAGACACTTAATTCACGTTGGCACGAGTTAATTCGCGAATTAAGTTAAGTCCCTTGCTAGTTAATTAGTTATTAATAGTAGAGCGGCTCCACAATTGCTGTTAATTATGGATAATTCATCACCAGGCTTAACAGTTTAATACACGTGTTAAGCGTGGGCTTAAGCGGATTAAGCTTGGCGAACGCCTAATTAGCTTCAAACCCGAACATGCAGGGGTAAACAATTTGTGATCCTGCACATACCCCTGGCGTTCTCGCTCGGACAGTTTGTTGGGTGCGTTTCTTAAGGAGCCGGTAGAACAGCTGCCAGCAGGGTATGTTTGCGCCAATTGAGCGAATTATGAAACAATGGGATTCAGATTCAAAAGGTAGTTTGATATTTGTGGCTCCTGACTATCAACAGTATGGCGGAGTCTTGGACCAAAGATGTATGTATGTACAAAGTAGTCATTATCTATAAACAAAAAATATAACCTTTGTACGGAATAAGAAGCTAGGCTGTCCATCTCTATATCCGTCCAGTTCTCATCTGGATCGCTTATTATTGAGCCCGAAACATTTGGAAAAATGAGAGTACAAGCCTTCGTTTCGGAGGCCCCCTGTGGGGCGTACGGTTTGTTTGCGGCGACGAGGAAGTATCATCCATACATCCAGTATTGCGCGATATACTTGACTTCGAATTGGTCCGGCATATTCTTGCAGCTGGTTGGCGCTTTTCCGGCGGTGGTTTTGACACGGTAAACGGCCTGGATTGAAGGGGGGTGTTAGCAATTGAAGAAAGGGATCAAGCGCCCGAATTTTGGCAAAATGTCTATTCGTTTCGCGCATACCTCAATTCCAGACCCATCCACACGGTCGAGTCTTAACCAGTCAACATCACGATTTTGAGGCGCAGGGACCTTTGCGGCGACCGAAACATAGGCATAATCATTGTGGCCGTTGGTTCGGAGATCGAACAGTGGAACACGGCCCTCGAAGTAGTGATGCCCTTGCATTTCTGAACCAAGATACTTGGGTACCAGACGGTTGACCATGCGCACTGGAAGCCTCACAACCATACGTGCAAACATATCCAGAAACCATGAGGACTGACTAGCAAGGCAGGAGACGTCGTAAAGCGTCGCTACCGCACCAACCAAAGCTGGCTTTGCGGACTTTTCGAGGTTGGCACATGTATAGTTCTGGGTCCCGACGCCGAGAGTGATGTATTTAAGGGCCAATTCAGAAGCGGGGGATGGGAGTTCAGCACCGTTGCCAGTTTCGGGCAACGAAACCTTTGACGTGCCGCAGGACCCTCCTCCATGGTTGGGTCGAATGTTTTTCAGAAGATTTCCAAGACCTGACATCGACATGGATGCTTCATGCTCGATCGGGGCGCAGGCAGCACCCAAAATGAGCAGGGAAGAGGAGAGGAGGCTGAGCAGATGCATTGCGATCGGAGGACTTCAAGGTAATGGAATAGCAAAGAAGAAAAGAGGCAAGAGACGTGGCGGCAGAAACAAGAGCCTGAGGCAGTTGATTATTCGGTGAAGCCAACGGCTGTTTGCTGGTGCAAGCCTGGGTTGTCTGCGGGAATATATAGCAGCTGGGTGGTTCCATTGAGCATTCCGTCAGACTCGCCACCTTTAAATACTCGAGCTGAGATGGTTTGAGAGGGTCTTTTGCCCTTGTTCGTCAAGCTAGCCATTCGAGAATCGACCACAGTAGTGTGGAGTGATAAGAAAAGAAATCATAATAATAGACTCATTGCGTGTGAGGCAACGGCGCAACGCCAACCAACACAGGCTGCAGAAAATTGGGAGGGAGTGTGCATACAGTTTGACAAGGGTACACTCGCACCCTGGCCCCCTGTTGGCGGCTCGAGCATTCTCCGTCAAAGTCAAGCTGGAGACTAAAATTGGCTGTCAAGAATGCGGCGCTTGACAACGTTCCTGGGGGGTTGGGGGAGGGTGGACGGACGCCATCATCCATGGAGTGCCCCAGCCTCTTCACCGAAACTAATTTCTTGCTCGCAAAGCTGACCAGCCCGTTCAACAGTGGGAAATCCAGAATTCAGCACGTTGAGATGAAGTGATCGGATCCAAGCGACATGGAAAAGCGATTCCCCACGAAGATCTTCAATGCTGCCAGCAGCAACGCCGTTCTGGAAGCCTTCTCTTCCCGGCAGTGATTGTCCATTTCAGCCTTTTGTGGCTCTTGGGGGCCATCGGGCATATCGGATTGTTTTGGGCGCTGGCTATCCGGCTGATTGGGTTCCAAGGACTGACAGACACGTCAAGTGAGGGCCCTACGCTTTCATAGTTATGTATCACGATCTGCATGGAAGTCATTGGCAATCCAGAAAGAAAAGATAACTAATTCTCCGGCGCATCGACTTGACTGCGCCGCCCAACAGCTTGAGGCGCTCATCGAGGGATAGTTATTAGTCATTATTTAGTCATTAGTTATTCACGTGATTCATTAGTAATCAAATCGAGACGTCCGCCTTCGATGGCTTTGAAGATGCGACCAGGTGCATCGTTGCGGTCTTCCATCCATCAACGTCAAGGCAGGAGAGACAAAGGGTGAAAAGTCGTTTCGTGTTGCTACAATAAGTATTCTCATACCTTCTATGCTACCTCTCAGGAATTTCATGTAATTGGGTCTGAGTATACTCAGTTGCCACCATGTCAGACGGTATGCCAAAACCGAATCCTCATCCGTACAGCCCAGCACAACTAACATTGTCGCGTCTAGCCGAGTTTGAGGCCATCAAACGCCTTCAGTCAGAGCGTAATGCTCTAGCTGCGGCAAAAAAAGGTTCAAAGACTTTTGATCCATCCAGCCAGCGAACTGACTTTTCCACCAAGGCTTCCTTGACCGAATCCTTCGACACCACGCTCTATGAACGGAATGGGACAGATAAATATGCTGGCTACAACACTTCTATCGCCGTCGACGGTGACGATGAAGACATGCCAGACGCTGATGCCGATCAAGGCCACCGGCTTGTTGGACAATACACCGCAAGCAAAGATCAAATGAGCGAGTTCGCTAGCGGGAAAGGTGTTGAAGAAGAAGACATCCTTCTGGGTCGCGAGAAAGCTGCTAGGATTTCAGAGCGGGAATCTGACTACCAGAAACGCCGTTTCAATCGCGGTCCTCTCACCCCGACCCGCGCCGATCCCTTTGCTGAGAATATCAACGCAAATGTTGGGGCCGAGGGACAGACATATCGCGAGATCATGGCCCTTCGGGAACTCGAGAAGGAAGAAGAGCGTGTTAAGAAGCTCATTGCGGATCAAAAAGTAAAAGGAGAGGGTGACTTTGTCGAGCATGAGGCTAGCCTGAAAATCGATGAGGGCGATAAAGAAAACCAAGATGCGGGCTCTGCTATGGCAGTTTCTACCGGGAGGAAGAGAAAACAGAGATGGGATGTAGCGTCAGAAGCCCCCACTGCAATTGAGAGTACCGAAACTGCTGACGCCAAGCCCAAACGTTCAAGATGGGACCAGACGCCTGCTCCTGCAGCGCCCACGGAGGCTACCAAACGGAGATCGAGGTGGGATCAGGCTCCGTCTCTTACCGCGGCTACACCGGTCGGACATCAAGGACTTGCAACACCCATACATCCCTCACAAACTGCTGTTCCAATGGTCCCTGTGACTTTTGGGTCAGATATCTCCGGTAGAAATGCACCTCTTTCGGACGAGGAATTGGATATGATGCTTCCTTCCGAAGGGTATAAAATTCTCGAACCTCCCCCTGGATATGCCCCCATCCGAACTCCCGCGAGGAAAATGATGGCCACTCCGGCCCCCGTCGCCAATGCGAGTGGAATCGGTGGCTTCATGATGCAGGAGCCTGAAAATGCTCGTCTCATGAGCAAACAGTTGCCAACTGACATTCCTGGAGTTGGGGATTTACAATTTTTCAAAGCTGAAGATATGCAATACTTCGGCAAGCTTGTAGATGGAGCCGATGAGAATACAATGTCCGTCGAGGAACTCAAGGAGCGGAAAATCATGAGACTGCTCCTGAAAGTCAAGAACGGCACCCCGCCAATGCGAAAAACGGCTCTGCGCCAACTCACCGACAATGCACGACAGTTTGGAGCTGGTGCTCTTTTCAATCAGATTCTACCGTTACTAATGGAAAAAACATTGGAGGATCAAGAACGTCATTTGCTCGTTAAAGTCATTGATCGTGTTCTGTATAAGCTTGATGACCTTGTTCGGCCATACGTCCATAAGATCCTTGTTGTCATTGAGCCGCTCCTTATCGATCAAGACTACTACGCCCGTGTGGAGGGCAGGGAAATTATCTCGAATCTTAGTAAAGCTGCCGGGCTTGCTCATATGATCAGTACTATGCGCCCTGATATTGATCATGTCGACGAGTACGTCCGAAACACCACAGCACGAGCATTCGCCGTGGTGGCTTCCGCCCTGGGAATCCCAGCCTTGCTTCCTTTCCTAAGAGCTGTTTGCCGAAGTAAGAAGTCATGGCAAGCCCGACATACAGGTGTTAAGATCGTGCAACAGATTCCCATTCTTATGGGTTGTGCGGTTCTGCCGCATCTGCAAGGCTTGGTAGACTGCATTGGGCCAAATCTCAGTGACGAACAAGCCAAAGTCCGGACTGTAACCAGTTTAGCTATTGCTGCTCTCGCAGAAGCCGCTAATCCCTATGGTATCGAGAGTTTCCAGGACATCCTTGGCCCGTTGTGGATGGGTGCCCGAAAGCAGCGTGGTAAAGGCCTTGCAGGTTTCCTTAAGGCTGTTGGGTACATCATTCCTCTCATGGATGAAGAGGGTGCAAACTACTTTACGAGCCAAATCATGGAAATAATCCTGCGAGAGTTCTCTTCCCCGGATGAAGAAATGAAAAAGGTAGTTTTGAAGGTCGTGTCTCAGTGTGCAGGTACGGACGGTGTTACAGCAGCTTATCTCAAAGAGCATGTACTCCAAGATTTTTTCAAATGCTTCTGGGTGAGACGTATGGCTCTCGATAGGAGGAATTTCCGCCAGGTTGTTGAAACCACTGTCGATTTGGGACAGAAAGTTGGCGTCAGTGAGATATTGGAGAAGATTGTCAACAACCTAAAGGATGAAAGTGAGCCATATCGAAAAATGACAATCGAAACGATCGAGAAGCTTATTGCATCTCTTGGAGCTGCGGATATTGGCGAAAGGTTGGAGGAGAGACTGATCGATGGCGTGCTTTTCGCATTCCAAGAACAAAGCGTCGAAGATATCATCATCCTGAACGGGTTTGGAACAGTTGTCAATGCCCTTGGAACCCGTTGCAAGCCTTACCTTCCTCAGATTGTTAGCACAATCTTATGGCGGCTCAACAACAAATCCGCAACAGTTCGTCAACAAGCAGCAGACCTTATCTCCCGCATTGCAATGGTTATGAAGCAGTGCGGAGAAGACGCCTTAATGGGTAAATTAGGCACTTTCCTTTACGAATACCTTGGCGAAGAATACCCTGAGGTACTTGGGTCGATCCTTGGTGCCTTGCGTTCTATTGTCACCGTCGTCGGTATCAACCAGATGCAACCTCCGATCAGAGATCTTCTACCGCGGCTTACGCCCATCCTTCGAAATCGACACGAAAAAGTACAGGAGAATACCATCGACCTTGTCGGTCGTATCGCCGATAGAGGTCCAGAGTCGGTCAATGCACGTGAATGGATGCGTATTTGTTTCGAATTACTTGACATGCTTAAAGCTCACAAGAAAGGCATTCGTCGAGCGGCTAACAACACATTTGGTTTCATCGCAAAAGCAATCGGCCCGCAAGACGTGTTGGCAACTTTACTTAACAATCTCCGTGTTCAAGAACGTCAATCACGCGTGTGCACAGCTGTTGCCATTGGTATTGTTGCCGAAACCTGTGCACCGTTCACAGTCTTGCCAGCTCTTATGAATGAATACCGTGTGCCTGAATTAAATGTGCAAAACGGTGTTCTTAAAGCCATGTCCTTCCTCTTCGAATATATTGGCGAAATGGCCAAAGATTACGTTTACGCTGTCACACCACTTCTGGAAGACGCGCTCATTGATCGTGACCAAGTCCATCGGCAAACAGCTGCCAGTGTCGTCAAGCATATCGCTTTAGGTGTCGTTGGCTTGGGATGTGAGGACGCCATGGTCCATCTTCTCAATCTCCTATATCCAAACCTTTTCGAAACGAGTCCCCACGTCATTGACCGTATTATCGAGGCCATTGAAGCGATTCGCATGGCCGTCGGGAGCGGCATCGTGATGAATTATGTTTGGGCTGGGTTGTTCCATCCGGCGCGTAAAGTGCGCACGCCGTACTGGAGATTGTACAACGACGCCTACGTCCAGGGTGCGGATTCGATGATTCCATATTATCCGTACTTACCGGATGAAGGGTTGGCGAGAAGTGAATTAGCGATTGTTCTCTGATTTTAAGTGGCTAGACTGAGCTTGCTGTTTCTCTTACTAACCTTTCTGCCTCAAGTTTTGGGATATACAGTTGTCTCTCGTTCAAGTATGCATTCTGTTCAAATGTGCTCAATTAGGTGCTTTCCAGGGTTATGGTATTTCGTTCTTTTATGTACCTGTAATCAATATATTTTATACTTTTGGAACAATGCACAGACTGACTGAGTATCACATTCTTCCTCAAGATTATTAATAAAGTATTGCGGTTTATGACGGGGAATTCTGCGTTTTGGGTCATGCAATAATAATCAAGGCTTTTTTCGAAGGAGAAGTTTGTTAGATTTAATATGTACAGTACAAGGTAACTACCTCGCGATGAGGAAAAGCCTCGTAAAATTATCTCGACTGAAATCGAGGCAAATACAGAGCGTATTCCAATCTTCTTGATCTCATAAACACGCATCCGCCCAGTCAAGGCAATACTTCAAAAACCAACAAACCGTTTAAAGAGTATACTTAAAGTACGGATTCTTATCACCCAGATCCTTGCATTCAGCGTCCAGGTCCCGCCCCTCGCGTTCCGCCTCCTCAACTTGCGCGGCCTTTTGCGCATTCCACCTGCGAACCATAAACAACAACGCCCATCCACTCAAGAAGGAGCAGGTAATAAACGAAAACAGCACCGCATAGGCAGTCATGTACTTCGGCTTCTCCCTGTCAAGGAAGATGTTCGAGCCCACAGTTCCGCCGACGAGATTGCCGATGGTGAATTGAAGAGCCATGCCAACGGCGCGCTTCCACTGACCGGCCAGATTGTTGGAGATCCACGCCACGGTGGTGGGGATGCCGGAGAAGATACCGCCGGCGACAAGGAAAAGGGCAAAGTATATGACGCCGGGGAGCTTGTTGGGATCGACGGCCATGCCGATGATGAGGCCCACCATTGTCATAAACATGGGGCCGATGATGAAGGCGGCGCGGTGTCGATAGCGGTCGGAGAGGACAGAGTTGGCGACGCAAATTATGCAGCCAAATGCATAGACGGGAATGGTGAGGAGTTGCGCATTGGCGGCGCTATAGCCAAGGAGATTAATCATGGTGGGTAGTGAGTATGAAAGTGAGTATGTGCAGGTGCAAATGGCGCCGAACATAATCTGACATAGTGTTAGATTTTAATCGCATTGTAGATGGGTGGCCATTGACCAAGACAGCCAAATTGAGAGGGGGTTAGACTTACAGTTCCCAAGTAAACCTTGCTATCAGTGAAACCCTGGATGACATACTTCCACTGGAAACCCCCTTCCTTTGAGCCTTTGTCGTTTCCATCGAACTGTAGCCGAAGCTCTAAGAATCGTGCTTCATCTGGTGAAAGCCACTTTGCGGAGCCTGGTGAATCGGGAATCAGGAAGTAGCAGATGGTGGAAATAACCACCGTGGCAAGGCCTTCAAGAATAAAAAGCCATCTAGGGCAGGTATCAGCATCAGCCAGTCATTCACCATTGGGAGCTTGGATTCTGTAATGCACACCTCCAGCCACTATAGCCGCGGACACCGTCCATCTTGCCGATTGCAAAGGCAAGCAACCCGGAAAAAGCACCCGAAAGGGATGCTGCAGTGTAGAATAAAGCAACACGATACTGAACTTCGAATCTCTTGTACCAAGCAGTGGTGATGAATGCACAACCGGGGAAGAGACCAGCCTCGAAGACTCCTAAGAAGAAACGGCACGCCAGCAAGGCGGAATAGTTTTGGCAAAGCCTAACCAACTAGGTTAGAAGACATGGACTCCTTTTGAAAGCCATGGTTCTTGGAAAGGTGAAGCGCTTACCCCATCACAGTCATGACAACACCCCATGAGGTGACGATAAGTGTCAACCAGACGGATGGTTTTAGCAGCTTGAGCATAACATTGCTCGGAACTTCGAATAGAGCATAAGGAAAGAAGAAGATCGTCAAGCACCTGCAACGCGTTAGTGAAAGCCACACGATGTTTGGTAAAGAGTCTAATGGAATTACCAAGCAAACTGCTGAGTGCTAAGCTGAAGGTCCCTCTCCAAGCCCTGGAGTCTCGCATTTCCGATGTTGGATCTATCGACGAAGGCAATAAGATACAAAATAGCAAGAGGCGGCATCAAGCGTATGTCGACTCGACGAAGAAGCGATTTGACGCGAGTATCGTCGAACTTGGCCAGAAGGTCAGTGTACTCTTGATATTCCGACGAGGCAACTTCGTCACGCTTCTCGGTGGCCTCCCCGAGAGAGGAGGCCTTCTCAATGCTGGCTTCTGCGGACATGCCCATTGTGAGTGTGATACGGCTCGAAATCTCCAGCCAGACGCGCGATCACTGCCCCGTGGAGAAGGATCGAGGTTGCGGGGATCCCGCCAATATATGCAAGATATCCGGGGTATCGAAGCATCGACCCCAGACGGAGAGCTATTCCAGCATCTGAACGCGTGCTGCTCCGGGCCATCCTTGCAGCATCGCAGTGCCCGTCTGCTGGAGAGATTCTGCAGCTGTTTGTGACGGAGAGAAACATTCCGCCAGTCCGGTTTCCCCACATCTTCCCCACTGTTTCCCCACAGTGCTGCTTAGTCAGGCCCTATCCCCACAATGCAGCGATTTTGCCCCGAGATCGCTTTCTGGTGTTGAGACCGGGACTGTGTTCTCCCGCAGCAAGGAGGGCCTGGATGCGTCCCAGATGGACCGGCTTACTACATGCGAAAGACGCTATCTGTAGCCGCGAAGTCGGGAAAGGAGGGAGTCTCTCCGTCCATGAAGCCGTAGAGGAGATCCTCCGGAGCATATGGGTTAGTGCCTAGAGGGAAACCCTGCCCGAAGCTATCTTGCTGGTTCAAGTCTCCTGTGACCGAAGACCGCGATGGAAACATGCGTAGAATAGCATCGAGATCTAGGGACGACGGTGAATGAATGTCCACGCCCGGCGGCTCTAAGATGTGTGTTAGTTCTCGAGCGATGACTAGGGCCACTGATTGGGATAGTTACCTGAGACTAGCTGCAGTCCATTGGCCGCCATGATCTTGCGGATAATGCTGGCGGGCTTCGACACGCCCACATTGGGAAGAGAGAGCTCGTCCAGACTGTGTAGACTGGCAGAGAGCAGGGACGAGTTCTCTCCGGGGTGTTGCCGCTCAGTTGCGGCTGCGTTGCGTACATGGATCGTGCAGGCCACATAGACGGCGTAGCTCAACAGATATGGCGCTCCTCGCAGAGTATACGTAGACTGGTAGCCAAGCACTATGCTTGTGATGTTTCTCGCAGCGGTGGAGCATCTCTTCCAGGAGCTCGCCGGAGGAACCGCGGAGCGAAGATGGCCATCGGAAATGAACGGGCGGTGAAGCAGGATGACCAGTGAATAGTACAGTGCGTTTAGAATCATCACGTTTGGGGCCGGTCGGACTTGGGAGGTCATCAGGCTGTCTGACCACGGCTCGAACTTGAGATCCACGGGCAGGTTATCCTTCCACGAAATAAGGGCGTCGTCGATGGCTTGAAGACTAGCCCTCGCATTTTCGGCCGTTGCACCGACCACGTAGAATCGGTTGATGATCTTGGTCATGATCCGTGACAGGAGACAGAGCTGCTGGAAGGTAGACACCGAATGGATCGGAGTGGGAGCGGGCGACATTGGAGACATGCTCTCCGTGGGGAGCATCGGGTCGACATATGGCGTCCACAGTTCCTTTTCTTCCATCGTGTCCATGAAGTTTCGCGAAACATGGACGTCCCGGAGATGGATGGTCATGGGGCGGCCCAGATACAGGCTCTGCAGCTTGTCGCAGATGAATGCGCCCCAGAAGACGCGACGCCGGATCTCGATATCCTCCGCATTGGCGGTGGTGGCTTTGTAGTCCAGATGCAGGCCCAGGTCATACACCATCCGCAGGGCGTAGCCGGTGTACAGCCATCCCTTGGAGGTGTCGCCGCGCGCATTGTACGTGGATCCAAGGAGCAACAGCCCTACCAGCGTCGCGATGCTGGACGAGTTCAGCAGCGACTGTTCCGCCAATAGCTGGTCGCAGCGTGCGAAGAACCGCCGGCCGGTCGACGAGGAGTCAACCGGGTTATCTCGAACCTCGATGCGCTGCGAGTATTTACTGGAGCACGCAAAGATGGCGTTGACGAGGAATTCGGAGCAGTACGGCCCATTCTGCACCAGGTCTCTCATGACGGCCGGGCGGTAGGTGAGCAGGAATGTGTGATGCTGGCGATTCCAATGCAGGTCAAGCAGGTGCTTGGCCAGTTCCATCGGGACGCCAAAGACGTCCGGTCGGTAGCACAGATCGTGCTCGCGCTGTCGCTGCAGGATGGCGTTGGCGATGAGCTGGTTTCGAACATGCTCAGCAACGGGCGACTCGGTGGGCATGACGGGCTTGGTTGGGCCCTGGAGAGCCGATGAAGGGCCAAACGTGTCCACCTTGCCGCCTTCATCGACCGAGAGGAACGGCAGGACGTCGAGGTCTTCATCGGACGAGATCCACGCGCCGTCGTCGTCGGAGTGCTGTCTCTTGTCGCTTCGGATCGTCTTCTTGGGCTCTTCTGACGGCGTGGGCGTGGGCGAGATCTGTTGCAGGCTGATATTCCCATCGACCATTGGGATGGACTCCAGGATGCTGGCTAGCTCGTCCGGCGATGCTCGCTTCAGTCGCAGCAGCGCATCTTCAAGCGCCCTCTTCTCGCCCTGGAGCGCATTGACGATGGCGGTGGATGGCCTGGCTTTGCGTCAGCATATTTCCACAGCTTCCTGTCAGATGCAGTCCATTTACCTCCGCTTCGGAACCTCCAGGATATACACGCACTCCTTCTTCTGGTTGATGCACGAGCTGCAGCTGGGTCGCTGCGTGTCGCATTTGATCTTGCGAGCGCGGCAGAACTGACATGCGCGCGCCAGTATCTTGGGCTGGCTTGCCGCTGCAGGCATATCCTTCTGTCGAGGCCAGAATGCTCGTAAAAGTGCTTTCAAGCTCGAATGAATGCTGGCTGGAGGATCCCCAGGTTCTTATTAATAACGAGGCCGAGCAGCGAATCAAACTCGGCATCTCCACCAAAAAGAGCGCCACATTCGATGGCAGATGGAAAAGCAATTATTTCATTTGAATCTAGCTAGAACTCGCCGGAATGAAGTCCTCTCTATAAAAGTACATTACTCGTAAAAAGATATAAAACAGTATTCCTATAAGACGCTTGATAACTCTTCAGACCGCCAACCGTCCTCCGTCCACCGGCAAATTCACACCGGTGATAAACGAGGCCTCGTCGCTCGCTAGATAGACGGCGGCGTTGGCGATATCTGCCGGCTCTGACATCCGCCTCAACGGCACCGACTGCGCAAACCGCTCGCGCTCTTCGGGCGTGTCTGGAACGCCAGAAAACATCTCCAGCAGCCCGGTCTTGCCGCGAAGAGGGCAGATGGAGTTGAATCGAAGTCCCTGGGGACCGTATTCGGCGGCCAGACCCTGAGTCACCTGTGTTTTTGGACATCCAGTGAGCAAGTAAGCAATAGGCGGGATCAAGAGCGTAGTTACCGTGTTCAAGAAGCCCTTTGTGCCGCCGTAAAACACCTGGCCGGGCCTCACTCTCGTCCCGGCGACGGACGATGTATTCAGAAACACGCCCGACTTTCGCTCGACAAAGTACGGAACCGTCACGGCGACGCTCTGGTATATGCTCTTCACGTTGACCGCAATGATCTTGTCAAACTCATCCTCCGTGACCTCGATGCTGGGCTTTTTCCGGTACGTCGTTCCCGCATTGTTCACCACAATGTCCAGCTTGCCCCATTTCTGCCGGGCCAGCTCGAGAGCGTCTTCCCAGGCCTTGCGGCTCGTGCAGTTGAAGTCGACAAAAACCGCGCTGCCTCGTCCGGCACCCGACTTGGCTTCAATCTCCTTGACGACACGGTTGCCGTTGTCAACCGCGATATCAGCGACCAGGACGTGCGCGCCTTCATCGACAAAGGCGTGTGCGATGGCTTCACCGAACCCGGACCCTGCGCCGGTGACAATGGCCACTTTTCCTGCAAGACGGCCTACCATTTTGTTTCGGGGGGATTGACAGTAAATTGTAGTTGGGTTCTCTGCTTTGGGTAGAGCTGCTCCGAATCAGTAGAGAATCAATCAAAGGACAACGAGCTGGCCACAGTGCGTCTTTTGAAAAGCCCGTCCTCGCGCTGTCTGTTGGCATTCTCCTCGTTGCCGGAACCGCTGTCCCCGCATAGCTACATAGTTAGTGAACTCTGGACGCCATCATCATCAGCTCAGCGCCTGGCTCTTCCCGAGGCGCATCGCGGAAGCAAAGTGGATGGCCACCTTGGCGATCTGGCTTGAGTTGACGGAGCGCAATCCTCCGCGGGCTCCACGACATAGACGGACGGCCTCACCAGAGCCACTGCGCAACGGACAGGATGCGATGTGCGAGCGCTTCCGAGAGAGGACGCTCTGGATCCCCCAAGGCCGTTTCTCGCTCAGCCAGACGGACCAAATGCGCCCTCGTCCCTCTCTGCTGGCCTGGTGAACGAGCATCCAGGTGGAAGCCGGATTCCGTACCCAGTTCCGCCCTCCTCGCAACGGCGAGCGGTGTATGATCTGATCTTCTGGCGGCTTCAAGAGAGCATTCCGGACATCGACTCGGCTGGAAACACATAGCGGGTTCCGTCCTCCTTCAAATAGCCGAATGTTTGTCTCTTGACAACGTCCCCCTTGACAAGCACTTTGACCTTGACTATTCGATGACTATGGCCCTCCCTTTGGAATGCGACGTGCTGGTCGCTGGTAGCGGCAACGCTGGGTTTTCCGCTGCCATCTCAGCAGCAGAATGTGGCGCCAGGCATGTTGTCTTGATCGAAAAGTCCCCGGAGGAATGGGCTGGAGGCAATACATTCTTCACCGCAGGCGCATTCCGTACCGTGCACGGCGGCGTCAGTGATCTTCTTCCGATCGTGAACAATGTCGACAGGGAAACCGCTCAGATGATTGATATGGAGCCCTATGCTCCCAAGGACTTCACCCACGACCTCCTCCGGATGACAGCAAACCGGACAGACCCCGAACTCAGCAAGATCCTCGTCCAAGACTCGAATGCCACCGTCAAGTGGCTTGCACGCCACGGTGTGAGATTCCAATTGTCTTACAATCGCCAGGCCTACAAGGTAGATGGCCGGTACAAGTTCTGGGGAGGAATGTCGCTAAAGACCGAAGACGGCGGCAAGGGCCTTATCCAAGACCATCTGACGGCCGCTCGCCGTCTCGGCGTCACCGTTCTCTACTCAACTCCTCTAAAGGGCCTGATCAAGGATCCCAGCACCGGAGCCGTCATTGGAGCCCGCGTCGAATACAAGGGCCAGGAGCGCATCGTCAAGACCAAGGCCGTAATCATGGCCGCAGGCGGATTTGAGGCCAATCCTCGAATGAGAGCTCAGTATCTCGGCCCCGGATGGGACATGGCCCTCGTGCGCGGCACGCCTTTCAACGTCGGTGACTGCCTAGAAACCGCCATTCGCGACGTCTCCGCCAAACAAGCTGGGAACTGGTCCGGCTGCCACTCCGTTGCCTGGGACGCCAACGCTCCCGCCAACACCGGCGATCGCGAAATCTCAAACCAATTTACCAAATCCGGCTATCCCCTCGGCCTCATGATCAACTCCGAAGGCCACCGCTTCGTCGACGAAGGCGTCGATCTGCGCAACTACACCTATGCCAAATTCGGCAGAGCCATCCTCGCCCAGCCGGACCATGTGGCTTTCCAGATCTGGGACCAGCAGACCATCCCCTGGCTGCGGTCGGAGGAATACCGGCCGGAAATCGTCGAGCACATCGCCGGTTCCACGATCGAGGAGCTCGCGGAGAATTGCGCCCGGCGCGGGCTACACAGCAAGGAGAAATTCATCAAGACCATCAGGGACTACAACGAGGCTGTTTATCGCTCTAGAAAGCAGAACCCTGGCGGGAAGTGGAATCCGGCCATCAAAGACGGACTGTCTACCCAGTCGCAAGCTGGTGGGCTCGTTCTTGCGAAGACAAACTGGGCCCTCCCCCTGGATCAGGGACCTTTCCTCGCCGTCAAGGTCTCGTGCGGTATTACTTTTACTTTCGGTGGATTACAAGTCAACCCACAGACAGCCGCCGTGATCTCCTCGGCGTCCAATGAGGAAGTTCCTGGCTTGTACTGCGTTGGAGAGATGCTGGGTGGATTGTTCTATGGCAACTATCCTGGTGGTAGCGGATTGACTGCCGGTGCGGTGTTTGGTCGCAGAGCTGGAGCCGCTGCTGCTAGTGCTAGTGTTGCGGAGGAGAGTATGGCGACTCGAGCAAGGCTATAATGGTGAATGTGCGGTTTGCTTGTTTTCCTACTGTAGATAGATTCTCATAGCAGTACATAGAAACACTCTAATCTAAATTAGCCTTGAATCAGTTACTCCCCTTTTATAGTTACACATATCACCACCTTGGCAACAAAAATCATTAGCATGCTAAGAATGGTGTTTCTCGAGCAGGTAGACTATTCTTAGCCTCATCAATGATCAAACTGGGGAAACTTGTATTAATATGCTCCAGCCACGAGAATCATATATAACTATGTATCAATGGCAAAGACGTCTAAATATCAAACGCCAACAGTCACACTTTTGATATTCAAGTATTCGTCCAGCGCACCCTTTCCGCCCTCTCTCCCCATGCCACTATCTTTAACTCCACCAAATGGCTGCTCACACGCGCTGATCAAGCCTACTCTACATCCTACCATGCCGGACTCCAAAGCCTCGCTGACGCGGTACATCCTGCTGATATCCTCGGTGTAAAAGTACGAAGCGAGACCCGCATCGACATCGTTCGCCAAGGCGATGACTTCTTCCTCAGTTTCAAAAGGGACCAAGAACGCAAGCGGGCCAAATGTCTCCTCCTTCATGAATAACATATCCTTATTGGCGTTTGTGACGATGGTTGGTGGGTAAAAGTTTGGTCCGTATTGGGCCTGGAGTTTTGCAGCGTCGTCGCCGACCAGCTTGCCACCGCGTTCCAGTGCGTCTTTGGTTTGGCGGCTGAGCTTCTCCAGAGCCTTTGGCGAATACAGCGGACCAAAGTTGACTTTGCGATCCCAAACGGAGCCGTAGGTGAATGTTTCCCCAAGTCGGGTCTGAAGACGGGAAGCGAATTGCGAGATAATTGATGAATGGACGAAGATCCTATTTGCGCAGACGCAAGTTTGACCAGATGAGCGGAATTTAGAAGATATCAATCCTACAATACACTTGTCAGCCACTATACGTTGGTTTCCCCTTCCGTGATCCTCGTGCTTACCGTCGACGGCTTTATCAATATTTGCATCCTCAAATACAATAAAAGGAGCGTTTCCTCCGAGCTCCATGCTTGTCTTCTTGAATGTCTTGGAGCACTCGGTATGCAGATATCTGCCAACAGCAGTCGAGCCCGTAAAGCTAAGGTGACGGATGAGTCTGTTAGCACAAAGTTCTGCTCCAACGGCTGGAGTGGTCTCAGAACTGTTGGTGATAATATTCAAAACGCCTGGCGGTCCACCTGCGCGTTCAAACAGTTTCGCAACGGCAATCGCGCAAAGAGGCGTCTCGGGAGCCGGCTTGCAAACCACCGTGTTACCTGCGGCAATAGCGGCGCCAACCTTCCTAGTCACCATCGCAATTGGAGAGTTCCATGGTGTGATGGCGGCAACGACACCTTGCGGCTGTTTGACGGTGAAGATGCGGTTATTCCCCCTTGCAGCAGGGATGGTCTCTCCATACACTCGCTCGATTTCGCCTTCAAACCAATCCAAAAAGTCTGTCCCGTACTTGACAGTGACCAAGGATTCCGTGAACGGTTTACCCAGCTCCAAGGTGCAGATAGCAGCCAGGTCGTCTTTGTTTTCCTTAATTAGATCCGCCCATCGCCTCATAAGCCATCTTCGCTCGCGGTGCGGGGAGTTTTTGAAGGTTTTAAAGGCTTCGGACGCAGCATTGATCGCAGTGCGCACATCGTCAACCCCTAGGTCGGCAACTCTGCAAACTTGCTGGTTGTCTTCTGGGTCTGTAACGGGCTTTGTTAGCATGGGTACTTGACACAGCCTCCTCCGATGAGTACTGACCAAATACTGAGAATGTCTTTCCACTGGCGGCTTCAACCCATTTTCCTCCGATGAAGGCGCGGGTGTCGATGAGAGAAGGGTCCTTGAACTATTACAGAACAAGAGTAAGTCCTTGGCTTTGAGGAAGTTCAGCAGCGATGGACTCACGGTATAGGGAAGCCTTTTCAGCAGGTGGTCAGCCATGGCGGGATTTCAAAGCGTGGGAGACTTGGTCAACACGGACTGAATATCTACCTGATACTGTATCTGCGCAAGATCATATATCTAGGCAACTTGCTGAAATTTCAACTCAGCTTTCCTCTGCCCTCCCCGCACCCCACGATGTCTTTCTCGATGAAATTGGACCCGCGTGGGACCTCAAGATGTCCGGATGGAAGTAAACTTCCGACTGCCGTGGTTTCGGTCCGAATTGTGGAACGGAAGTCTGGCGGAGACTGATGTTCCGTCAACATCGAGATCCGAAGAACGGAGGAATCGATCCTGCAGCTACGGGCGGACGTTATGGGATCAAGGGAGATTTTTTGAAAGAGCTGCGTTCCTGATTATGTCTTCGTCCATTCCCCGGACTTGCAATCTCCTACCGTTACCTTACGAAAAGAGCAAGACTGGCAACCATGGCGGACTCGCAAGATACCCATGAGAATTCCTTACCAGCTCCGGCAGAAAATCAACCAGTTGTTCAACTTTCCCTACTCTCTGGTGGCTATCTGCACCTACCTGGGAATCTCTTCGTTGAGGGAGCCAGCGCTGAGGAGACACTAATATGCCCGTCCATGTCCTGGTTAATAACGCACGCGCCCACAAACTCCAAGATAATTTTCGACCTTGGTCTACGAAGAGACATCCAAAACTATCCCCCCGGCGTTTACGAGCGATTACAAAGTGTCGTACCCGTCGTTGTTAAGGAAGACGTATCTGATAGTCTCGAGAAAGCGGGTGTCGACCCAGCCGCCGACGTTGACGTTGTGATATTCTCCCACCTTCACTACGACCATATTGGTGACCCATCACATTTCGGGCCCAAGACGAAATTCGTGGTGGGCCCCGGCGCGGGCAAACTGCTGCATGGCCCGACCACGTATCCTGATGATCCTCACTCGCATTTTGATTCTAGATTGCTCCCACGCGATCGGGTGGTCGAATTGCCCACCCCGTCTTCAGTCGCAGACGGAGCCGATCGGTACTGGGGACCTCTGGGCCCATTCTCTGCCGCCAGGGATTATTTTGGTGATGGATCTGTCTTTATAGTGGATGCCCCGGGTCATCTGGTCGGGCATATCAATTTGCTGGTTCGCGTGCAGCCAAGCAAATGGATGTATCTCGCTGGCGACACCGCCCACGATGTTCGCCTTTTGAATGGAACCCGCCGCTTTGCGGTATATCCCGATCCTCACACTGGTCGTCCGAAATGCGCCCATGCAGATAAGGCTGCAGCAGAAGCGCATATTAGACGGGTGAGAAAGCTCCAGGAAATGGGCGATGTAGAGGTGGTTCTGGCACACGATGCCGCTTGGTTTGATGAGAATAAGCATAGATTTAGCATCACTGGACCCCAGTCCTAGGGCATGCCGTCCAATGAAACCATTTTGGAAGGTTTTGTAGTCTCATCGGTATTTCAGTCATCCTGTTTGTATGGTTTCTGACCATAGTAGCTGTGTCTTGGTTTGATGCACGGCGGTACTTTTTGGGCGGCCGACCTTTTAGGATCAAGTTTGGAATGCTGTTAGAAGCCGCGTCCAACGAGTATTTGAATATGCACAGACGAGGAATTATAGCCTTGGGTACCCAGAAAAGGCCTTAAGTGAACAACGATGTTGATGTCGATGTCGATGTCGCCAAGTGATCGGGTGTGACTAACTTCTGACTCAGCAACCCACACTCGCTAAGGATCGCGATGCTTCAACCGAACATCTAATTTTTGCAAGACGGCTCTTCTTTTCGACCGAACGACGCTCGCAAACCTCGTCTTCTCGCCCAGTTAGCTTTTCTTCGACAACTTCAAACAACAAGCTACTCCATCAAAAATGGCCAAGGCTAAGAAGACCGGCGATACGTATGTACCGGAGCAATCGATAGACAATCTAACAGTGAATGCTAATCAGCGAAATGTTCAGGCTCGCCTCCCGTCTGGCTCTTGTCATGAAATCCGGCAAAGGTCGGCTTTTCTGCTCCTTGTCATCCGAAAGCGCAATTCGTTAACATGCCGTTTTTGCAGTCACTCTCGGAACAAAGAGCACTTTGAAGACCCTCCGCTCCGGCAAGGCCAAGCTGATCCTTATCGCTGCCAACTGCCCTCCCCTCCGCAAGTCCGAGCTCGAATATGTACGTCTCTCTGCGCTTCTCCATTGCATGGCGTCTTTGAGATTGAACCCGAGCTAACATATTAAATGATAATAGATGGCCATGCTTGCCAAGTGCCCAGTCCACCACTTTGGCGGAAACAACGTGAGTTGTCCCACGATCGCCCATTCATTCATTGCTCAGAGAAGAAGTTGCGTGAAGTGACTTCGGAGAGCGAAGTCGCTCAACGAAGGCATCTTCTCATGAGGATGCTGGAGAGCATAAAGTCGAATTAACGGATTTGATATAGATTGAACTCGGCACCGCTTGTGGTAAACTCTATCGTTGCTCTGTCTTGGTGAGTCTCCAAGGCTGTTTCTGCAACACGCTTGTGTTTGCGAACATGATTCATCGTACTAATATCATTCCACCCTACAGACCATCCTTGAAGCCGGAGACAGTGATATCTTGAGCCGTGAGGCCTAAATTATGTAAATGAATACTGTCATATGAAAAGTTACGGGAAGATCGCCGCGATGGTCGCAGGGTCTAGTTGACCTGGGATTTCCACATTACGGGAAAATTGCAGTACCTTCTTTGGAAGGTTTCGTACCGTTTTCTGCGGATTCTTATCAGCAGGCAACCTGGGACCGTTGGCGGACGCGCGGTGTGCAATCAAGAGCTGTGTTAGTTTCGGTAGCAAACTTTCATCTCAGCAATAGAAAAGGAAAGCTACATATTCTACAGCAATTGTGTTTGTAGACAGCCCGTCAGTGATCAAACGGCCCCCCAAAGAACTCGTATATCAATCCGCGTGTCACGTATGCGCGCGCTCCTGTCTGGATCCCAATTCATTTACAAGCCAGGTTTTTCTTGGCCCTTGTGAACAGTCATGCAGAGCTGTTAAAGTATCCGAATTCTGATTGTGATCATCTGCGTCTTGCTCTTGACTTGTAGTTTTACGGTCGAAGACAGTATCTTCCAGCACTCGAGGAATTTACTATTGGAAGAACTCGAGCATAATCATGCGGCGTGCCTATTATACAATCAGTGACTTTCTATCCTGTACCTGTATCCAGGTCTAGGAATGTCCTGTATCTTCCTGACGAGATTCATGGGTCCGTAGCCCGCCTCAAAATACCGGATGATCTGGGAATCGATACCCATTTTAATTTTCAGCTTGAGGACAAACCCGGCGTCCCTTCAATCAGTCACCGAGGGGCGGCTAGGACCGTTTGGCGATTAGCGTTTTTGCAAAAGACCCTGAAAATCCTAACTTTTGGAACAATATCATCCATAAGGAGAGGAATACGGAGTAGAGAGCATATGGCCAACCGCAAGAGAGGAAAGTATTAGTTACTGCTCCAAACAAAGAGCCTTTGCTGTTGGATCCCGAATCTTCTCTCGTGGTCCGGACTTGAATTCCCAACAAGCATGACCTGTCACAATTCTTCCTCACCTTGGCGTAAAAAAAACAAAAATTAAAACTCTGGTCCTGCTGATGCGCCATTTGGTGACACAACATTAGGTCTATGGGCCAAGCTGATGCCTGAGCGCTGGGATGCAGCTCTGGTGTGTGCAAAATGCTGCAGGATGATTTGCTTGGATGGCGGGGTGGCATGTTGGCTCGACCCCCAAGGTTGGAGGAACTGGCCCAACAAAGAACGCGCGCGAAGGCGTTCCAAGAATGCAAAAATAGGCTTCCAGTTTTCTGGATACTGGGAAAGGGACCAGAGGACCTTGCTTGTTATCCGAATTCTGGGGTGTCAAAGCATTGTTTCCTGGAAGAGTGAATCTCATGGATTCGATCACTCGTCTGCAGCTGCTTGTGCTGAACATGGCATGCAGTGCGCAGGACGAAAATAGAAGCACCCAGTAACTGTGACTAACTAGGTTAAGGCTCACGTTTTCAGCTTCTTGCAGCTGAGAGATTCGCTTTTCCAGCCCACTGACCAAACCACCGAATAAGAGTTTAGTAAATCCACAGGAAAGAAAACGAGAAGCACCCATCGACCCAGCCGCTGACTGAATGGAAATGCATCGAGATATGGAGTACATTGTTCTTGTGCGGCTGATGGGTACGTCCCATCAACCAACACAACTGTCCTTTGGCAAATGCGCCCCCCAGAGTGGCACTAGTACTTAGTATTCTATACGTAGTATTTTTCTATAGCGGACAGAAAAAGTGTCTGCTCCTGCTCCGTCTTCACGGTTCCAAAGAAACGTAGTTCCCCCTCCGCTGTACAATAATCATCACTCTCACATCAAGTTGGGTGCTGGTATAAGATACCTTTGGAAAGAAGGAAACAAGCATTGCACTGAGTAAGCCCGGTCCATGCAAGCAAGCCCTGTGTAACAAGGCCTAGAACGAGAGGATCTCCCGCTGCTTTTCGGTATTTCGGAGTTACGGCAGGCCGTTTTTGGTCACTGGTCAGTGCCCTATGAAGGTCGACAACGGCGGGTATTAGCGTTGGCTTCATTTCTCGGTACTTTGGAAAAAGGGTGTATTATTTTGTTTGTGATTTGCAGCATGCTAGCAGACGGACAACGCGACTTTGTTCTGCAGTTGGGTTTCCAAGTCTTGGACGCGTGGGCACGGTCTTTTGGTGGCTCAGGCTTGTAGTTGGCCCGGGCGACTCCGTTGAGATTGGCTCTCCATGTGCAAACGTGGTGAAAGACAAGCATTTCCTGACTTCACTGAGTAACGTTATCATGCTCGTTAGTGTTCTCTTTTGTATCGGACCATAATCTAGGCTGTGTGCGGCGAATTGCCTGTGATCGAGATAGGGGTATATTGTCAGCTCAAAACATTCTAAAAAAATTTGAGGACAGCAAATGGAACATTCAATGCGTTTCAACCGAGGCCAGCCAAAACGCTCACACAGCAGGACGGTCCAATTGAATAAAAGGTACAATGCCTGCTGCCATTCCGACATTTCTTGTTTGAACTCTTGCCCTTTTCGCGGCATTTCGTTGGTTAGGTCAGGTTGCACAAAATGGGCAGTGTGCTTTTCACCAGCATGCATTTGCCTCCAAACACCAGCCAAACAAAATTGAGGAGGTTTGAAGGATTGGAAGGTCCAAAAGCAAAAAAAAGGCGACAACTCGAATGAACAGGAAGTAGGACGAGCTCTGCCATGCACGTGAATGCAAGGGGTGGACAAGTGCTCGTCCCTCGGTGCGAGATGTTTTTTTTTTCTTTGGAAACAAACAGGCAGACGAAGAGGGCGAGTTGACGCGCAACGCGATCAGTTCAGAGCCTCAGCGGTGCCCATCGCGGGATCAAACATACCCCGAGGATCAACGGTTTCTCAGATAGATTAAGAGAATGTTCTTCCTGCCTTTTCTCGAAGCTTTTTGTCGATTCCAGAAGATGGGAGGGAGGGAAAAAGGGGGGGCCATCGCGATAATGACGTCAGGAGTGTATGGAATCCAAACGGCATGTGGGTCGCGGTTGCGGCCAGCGTGTTTCAGCTTGAGAGCGTTTGAGCGCAAGGAAGCTCGACTATTTGATGCTATTGCCGCCTACCCTCTGCTTGTGCTATCTTGGGTTTCGGCTGTTTTGTGCTCAAGCCGAGAAACGGACATGGGTGCTCGAAACAATCGAAGATTGGGGCCCTTGGGAAATTGGCCATTTGGGATCCTGCGTTTCCTCATCTCGAGTTTTCCACTGCGAATCAAAGGTTCATGACTCCATTGATGACTATTCTGCTGAAAGGCATTGCGCGTCGAGGGGGCTCTTTGGTGGAGATGCGGTCTTGGCTTTCGTGATCATTCTTTCTCATCATTGGGCCCGTTGGAACTCAGCCCGCAAGATGCTGTTTCTGCCCTTTTCCATGGGAAGGTTTGGCTACTGTTTTGCTTTCTGCGATCAAGCAACGTCCATTTTCAACACGGAACAGCTTCCCTGGATGTGTATAACAACCCTCGCGTATGTGTACGTAAACATGGATGCTTGAACTCTCCCTTTTCCATATCAGAGGCTCGAAGGGCAACCACCAGGCTGGAAGTGGAAAAGACCCAACGTACTAAAACAGCGTTTTTCAACGTCAAGAATCCACAAAACCGGCTCTGATCTGAGGTTAGTCTGAGCGTCTAATTAGCGTCCAATAGAGGGTAAGCCCTAAGGCATAATATTCGGGGCACGGAAAGCCAAGCATGTTCTCAAAGAGGAAAACAGTGTGACTTGTTTGGAGCCTTCTGATTCAACGAAGATTGAGCAACTGTTGTGGTTTCTTCAGAGTAGGCACCGCGGGCCCAACGACGTTTGTCCCAAGCGAAAGACCTTTTGGTCCTGGAGTGCCTTTTGGGTTGTTTCTTTTCGTCATGATCAAGCCGACTCGGCCTCCCCTTTGCAACGCTTGGCTCTGGTTCCTGATGAGCTTAAAACAAATGTTTCTGGTGAGCAGAGTTTCAATGCTGGCAGTTAAGGTTGATGGTGGCTCCACCCCCCTTGCGCATCAAGTTACAGGACAGACTCGTATCGGCCATGTAATGGGTTGCACGGTGTTCAAAACCGGCTGTAAGCCAGGTAAGCTTTGTTGCTAGCGCATAATGGTAATACCTGCGCTGTAAAGAAACCAAAAATACAGGCCTTGTAACTCCATCAGATCCAGCAAGGACATGCTCCTATCATCCCCCCAGGGTGTTTTCCTCTGTGTTCTGTTTCATCTAAACAGAATCCCTGCCTTGTTTTGAACTCTTTTGTGTCCTGAAGAAACAGTCAAGCAGGCGATCTGGTGATCAGGGAAGAGTCAAAAAGAAAGAACGTGGGCTGGGAGCCTGGAGGTCGTCCGGCTCGACAGGGTCGGTGACGATCTGCCGATATCAATTTGCTTATCATGCAGCTGGCAACCCCAAGCTTCAAACCTGGTACTCTCCGGTGTCGATGATTGTGGGGGAGGGGAGCTTATCAGCGACGCGTTTGCTGCACAAAGTGAGCGGTTCCCAATTGTTTTTCTGGACGAATTTCGTGCTCTTGGCCAACGATGTCAGGCAGGAGTCGCGAGCTCCAGAAGGATACCGTCTTTACTGTACCGAAAACTGTACAGAGTATACAGAGTACCGAGTACTCCTTTTGAAGGCGGAGGGGGAGCTGTTCCATGATCTATTTGGTGATCTTCGATCGTGGCGCTTTTTGGGCAGATCACCGTGAACCCCGTCCTCTTGAATACGGAGGAAACTCCACCAGAAGCTTACTCGGTGAACTCACTGTCTTGTTGATTGGTGCAGAGCTTTCTCTTCATCGTGTCTCGGCATGAGATGATTTGAATTGGATCACCGAGCTATCAAAGTTCCGCTCAATGTCCCGAAGTCCGTAGCCAATTCCCCATCAACGCCAAACGGGTTCTGATAACAGGGCTACTTCCAAGCTCGACCATCTTGAAGCCCTGTGGATATTATGTCAATGACGTGTTCAGCACGACAGCCGCCACTGAGCGCATAAGGTTGCAAGAGGGCCGGAGGGGGCAAGCACAGCCCAAACTCGACCAAAAAGCGCACTCGAATGCCGTAAACAAGGCACGCCAGACTAATGATCACTTCCACCAGATGATGAAATAATACTGCAGTTTCCTCAGGGGCGGTTGGCTCCCCCCTTCAGACCCCACCCCGCAACCGCCGCGCGGGATGTCAGCAAAGCGCAGCGGGCGCTCTGACTGGCTGCTCGGAGAGTGGGCAGCGGGTGGGGTGCACGAATAGGAAGGCCAGTTTCAGATGAGCTGACGCGTCTGCTTAACCGGTTCGGGCAAGGCGCCGCAGGATGACATCGACCGGGAAGAGCGATCTAATCAATCGCGGGCCTCCCCCGCATTCAACGATCTGGCGTCATGCAGGTGGTCATGGGCCTGAGGGAATATAGGTAACAATCTGTTCTCGAGACGGCGGAATGGCGCGCTCGCGAGGTCCCCGTTCCCTGCGCGGCTGAGTTTGTGGGGGGTCCGGCAACGATTCTCGGGAATGCAGAATAGTGAAATGCTTTTGATCGCGGATTGAATTCCTCTCCTCTTGGCGCCACACATTTTTCCCATCGAAGTGACAAAGCCCATCTCGATCTCGGAGCACGTCAACATCCACCAGATCATGGACTGCCGCAAGAATGTGTTTCCGACAGCTGTCCCTGTGGCCAACACCGCACGACGGGAAACGCTAAAAGAGATCATTGGTTTCAGATGTCAATGGTTCAGGTTCCGCAACCAAAATCCCGGTTTTCCTCCAGTGGCCCACATATAACCCATCTCTCCATGTCATCTGAACACAGCTTGCTTGGAAACGGGAATGATCAATAAATGAGCTGACGGAAGTGCGCACGTCAGCTGCGGGAAGAGCACTTTCGACCATTGACCCCCTCCCCTTTGGCTTGGACGACCGTCCCGAGGATGGAAAAAAACATGTGTACGGAGTACAGAGCGTGTATTATTATGAATACATTATATTCACACCAACACGAAGCACACGGAGCAGGTCTCCACCGCGGTCAGGCTTAGCGTTAAGCGCGCTGCGACCATTTGGTCACTGTCGATCCCACATCATTTTCCAACCGATGATGGAATTTAACCGCCGTTTGAAGGAAATCTCAATTATCATTATTGTTTTTTTCTTTTTGGGCAAAGGCAACTCTCCCGAAAGACAAGAGGCCCTTGGACTGGCCATCCGTCGCCGCTCACACCTCATGCCTCCTGCTACTGCGCGTTTAGTTACCATACGCTCACCGCTAGTTGTTCGACCGATTCCCTCGCGACATCGGCGAACCGTGCAATCAAAAGAGCGGGGGGAAAGCGCTCGACTCTCCAACTCCAAAATCAAGATTGATTCCCTGCAGTGATTCATCCATGCATGATGCAAGCATCACGTGAACGAGATATTGGCTCCCGCTCGATTTGATTGCTGTGAGGCTACCATTTTGCAGCGCTTCCCGTATTTTATGTTCTCGGCGAATGGGACGATGTGGAAAATCCATTATTCTCTGGTGATGAAGTTGGGATCAAGTCATGCGCTAGTTCAGATATCAATTGGCAAGGAAGCTTTGATGGTTCCCTCAGCCAAGGCCCCTTTGCGGCCTCTCAGGATGTGCACTATCTCGACGCTAATTGCGCCCATTCCGTCGCACTGAAAATCCGGCGTTCTCTTGGCGCTTCCCGCCCCATCTCCAAACCAAGGTTTGGGCGAATGGGCGGCTGAGATGGGGCTCTCAGCGCCAACCATTTGGGGGAGCTCTGTGCCTCTTCTGGTCGGAGCCAATTTTTCAACAGACTTTACTTTTTGCTGCCCAACATGTCGATTTGGATACCGGGTGGTGAGAGCTCCAGCGGCTGATTTCGGTGGCGACATCTTGATGTTTCTGTTTTACGGAGTACACGGAGAATAACTGTGCAACAACCTCGTCCCTAAAGGCCTGCCCCAAGCCTTAAGTCTCTTCCCTTTACATCTGTCTTCGCACTGCAAACGGGACAGAGCGCGAAAGACAAGACGCACGGCTAGTCCCTTTCTTGCTCTCCCGAACCCCGTCTCGGCATGGGTCGTAAACCCCCACGCCCTTTGGTCCTTGAGTTTGAAGCTGCGCACAACGCTTGTCTTCGTGCCAAGTCAGCATTGGGCCAGAGGAGGGCTCCACTCCGATCATCCCTGTCAAATCTGAGCTACTGGGATACCCCTGTATATGATCTGAGGGCCTGTGAGGCCTTGTCAACCTTGATTTCGTGAAGGTTTGGCGGACTCTTGTTCATGTGTGCTGAACATGTCATTGATATGATTTGTGTTATCCAGGTTATGAACAAATGGTCTTGTGCGCTAGGTAAGCTTTTCAACCAGTAGTAATTACCCCAACACCAAATCTTGACACTTTGAGGCTTCATGTAATACTTACATATGTACTCCAGACAGGATCTGTGCATGGATCATTGGCAGCCCTGACTTTTCCGCGCTTTGGGTCTTTTGACAAATGTTTGCAAGTCCCTTGGGAATGGAATGTGACCGATCATATCAACTATTTGAAGCCAATCAGATAAGCTTAAATGGATCAACCACTAGTGGCACTCTCCGGCGACTTCCTCCTCTCCCGTATCTCGAATTCGAAAGGGCACATCGATTATCGACTCGATTAAATACGTGCCTCTATAATTACCCTGGGATCGGGGCATGCAAACTGGTAAGTCGGGGGATGGGGAAAAAACA